GGAGGGGGCAAAAAAAAAGGCAAGATCGAGCCTCTACCCCGGCCTCCCCCTCCCCCTCCCCTCTTCCCGGGGTTGCTAAGGCAGAAAGCCCCGCTCTGTGATTCACTGGAGAGGAAAGGGGGAGGAGGCGAGAGAACTCGGAGTGCCAGAACTAAGTTAGCCGAGAAAGCGCACGCAGCTCGCGGCGCCCCCTCCGGTGCCAACTCCGCCAAGGACGAGGGGGCGCGGCGCGCGCTGGCCACGGGGCTGCGACCCGGCTCTGGTCCTCGCGCCCCCCAGCAGCCGAGAGGAGCCGCTGCCCCAAGTTTCTGCAGAGGAGGGGTGCTTGGCGGTGGGGGCAGATCAGGAAGTGGGTTTTTTTTTTCTCCCTTCGCCGCCTGGTGAGTGTCGGCGAGGTTGGCAAACGGCTAGGAGAGGACCGGGAAGCACAGAGAGCCCCGGAGAGGTGGAGAGGGTGATCGGGAAGCCGGGCCGCTAAGGCAGTTCGCCCCCGATCCGGACCAGGGCCAGATGCGACGGCTCGGCTTAGCCGGGCTCCAGGGGTGGACGCCGCTGGAGTGACCGCGGGTTCACCGCCCTCGGTGCGCACGCCGGGACCGGCTCTCTCCCCAGTGTCCCGGCACTCTGACCACCAGAAGCCCCTGCCCAGGGTGCCAGTGTGATCCTCCATTCCTTCTTGAGTGTGTTTGTTTTCATTTTCCTCCCGGGAACTTTTGGATGGAGATATTAACTTTTTTGGTGGAGGCTGCTCGAGGGAGTGAAAGGGGGAATACGATGAAGAGCGACTCCTTATTTTTCCGAGGCCCCATCCATTAAGCCAGCACTTCGAAAGGATTAAAGTGGTCGGACGTGGTGACAGCTGAGAGGAGGGGCTTTCTTTCCCGGTGGAGACCTTCCGCCTTCGGTTGGGTCTACGCATCCCGCGTGCATGTGGGCGCCCGCCGCGGCGCGGGGTGCGCGGTTCTGCGCGGGCGGTCTCAGCTGGGACCCGAGTGAATGGCCCTCAGGGGCGGCGGGGGGCCTCAGCCTCCGCGGTCTCCGCAGGCCCGGGTCGGGCCTGGAAGGATGCTGGCTATGGGGGCGCTGGCAGGCTTCTGGGTCCTCAGCCTCCTCACCTATGGCTACCTGTCCTGGGGCCAGAGGTTAGAGGACGAGGAGGAAGGGACCTTACTAACTCAAGCTGGAGAGAGACGAGAGCCCATTACAACTGCCACCTCCCAGCCCCATCTCATTTTCATCTTGGCGGATGATCAGGGATTTAGAGATGTGGGTTACCACGGATCTGAGATTAAAACGCCCACTCTTGACAAGCTCGCCGCCGAAGGAGTTAAACTGGAGAACTACTACGTCCAGCCTATTTGCACACCGTCCAGGAGTCAGTTTATTACTGGAAAGTAAGTGTTACTACTTCTTATACTTATTCCTTGAAGAAATAGTAAACGCTTAATTAAGATTCAGCCCCTAACTTAAGGGAGTAACAAAGTCTTGGGAACAGCTGAACGAATGAATGCAGGATGGATTATGGTGAGCATTAAAATAGATGCCCTGTTAGTGATTTTGGCAGTCTAGTTACTGGTCTAGTATCATTTTCTTTACTCTGAGCCGATGGGGAGTTTTTAAATGAGATAAGCACTCATCCACCAACCAGAGATCTCCAGAAATGATCTCCTATTCCTAATCTATTGTGAATTTCTATCGTGCTCAGATTTTGTTTCAGGTGTCACAACAGAATGCACACTCACCATCACTGGTAAGAAAGATGACTAAATTTTTTCTGCTACTCTCAGATTGTGCTTAAATCTAGAATGGAATGACTGAAACAAAAGGGGTCAAAGAAACAGATTACAGTCAGTGTTAAATGCTCAACAACACTCAAACTTCAGCTGAAGTTTTCTGCTGTTCTTCACATGTCTGGGAATTTTCTGATGAATAAAAATCAGATTACTTACATGTTAGTAAAGTGTTTTAGTACTGTAATTACTTTGCTGCATACCTAAATCTTCTATGTGAGATGTTCACATGTTTTCATATTTTTACTCTCTCCTGAGAATGCAGGCTACTGTAACTGATTTAGTTGTCCAAATTCAGCCTATGGGATGGAGATTAACTAGGAGGGCAAGGGGTCGTGCTGGACAGAGGTAGAAGAGAGCCTTACTAGGTTCAGTCTGTGTTTTCATTTGCAGGCAGGGAGCCCTTGCTCCAGTGAAGTTGTTCTTGGAATTGTGTCCTGTAAGAGTAGCCAGTATCCATTGGAAAAAGAAAGACTATTTTGTAGGAATCTCTGTCTTGCAGGGACTTTTGCTTACCGCATGATTTCCACTGCTTAGCAAACTGTCAGAACTTAGCATCACTGCCAAAAAAGGAAAAAAAAAATCCCATCCTTCCCTCTCAAGAGAGAGAGAAAAAAGAAGTCTCAATGTACTTCAAGTCATTCTAAAGGTTAATTGTGGCATCAGCAAGTCACGGACATTTGATGTTTATAAAGGAGCAGATTGTTGGCTAGAAAACATCAAGTCCATCTGGTGGCCTGGAGGTCAAGTTCTTCATGTTTAATTCCAACCACCTTTTTATTTGGCTCAGGAAATAAATGTGTCATAAGGCTTCACTGGACCTCTTCAACTAACTTATAGAATGAAGATTTATGCAGATAGCCAACAGTAGTTGAAAGTATAACTAACTACAGGAATTTATTTTTCATAAATATAAAGCATACGTTCAAGGCATTTCACCCAACAAGAAAATTTGTTCTTAAACATTCTCTTTCACTGATAAAATATCTAGGTTTTGTCGTTTAACTGCTATGCTTACTTAATGAAATAAAACAGAAACTAAGCTGAAAATAATTTCTAGTTTTTATCTTTGGTCAAAGGTTGATTCCTCTGTACTTTCAAAGCAATCAAATATCTAATGAGATTTCTTTTTCCTATTAAAATTTTCTATTCAGTACAACAAGTTGTATAAGTGTTTAATAGGGAAAAAATACAAATAGCTACTGTGATTGGATTAAAATTTCTATTTGAATTAAATACCTGATAATGTTCTCACTTGCAGTTCTCCTCTTAGACAATTTGCTAGAACTTTCCTTTAAGTGAACACAGATGTAAGAAAGAAAGTGATTATAAAAGCCTAACTCTGGACACAATGTAAATGCAGGTCCAAGAGAATATGGTCATTGCCCTCTTCATGAATACGTGTCTATCCTTTCTGGATCCTCTAAAGTAAAAAAGGAAGCAATAAAAACTTGAATGAACTGAAATATTTTAAGGGAAAAAATAGGTTACGTGAAATGTGAGAGGATTCAAGTATCTTCACATGACAAGGAAAAAGTTTATATAATTGAAGCTGAAGTTACTTTTGATGCTGTTAACAAAGCAACCTTTCCTTTATAATTTTCTGGAGTCAACATGTAAAAAAAAAAAAAAGATTTTCTTTTACTGCACAATCTACTCCTTTATAAATATCAAATATCTTTGACTTTTGTTATTCATTTATCCCACAAATTCCAGATTCCTTTAATAATTTACATCATATCAATCTGGCAATACTATCAGTCCGTCCGTCAGTCAGTCCATCAGAGTATTCACGGTGTGCATACTCATGCATTGGGAGTGTGAGGAACAAATGAGAAACAAGTCCTAACCTCTGGAGAGTAGTTCTCAAATTTGAGTGTGCAAAAATAATCACTGCAAATGCTGGTTAAAATGTAGACTTCTGGGCCCAACTAGCAATGTAGCTTCAGTAGATCTGGGTTCAAACCCAGAAATCAATAGTGCTTTAATGAGCACTTCAGGCTATTCTGATGATAGCACTATTAATAATACACTGAGTGCTAGTATTAAATATTAGCACCTACTGAGCAGTCTCTGTGTCCAGGATAATGCATTTTACCTGCATTGTCTCATTTAATCCTTACAACAACTCTATGAGGTAGTTGCTATTGTTATCCCTGTTTTATATGGATATGGCAACAGATTCCAAGAGGTGTAGTGATGCAGGGGTTCTGTACATGGGACACATCACTCTACGTGTTCAAAGTTGGCCTGGTGAGATAAAAGATTAATTGGGAAAGTGGCTGTCTGTGTTTGATTTATTTTAAAGTAATTTTTTCTAACTTTTTTTTACAGTTTTGCAAATAAAGACATGGAGAAATGACATTATTTTTTCTTAAAAGAGAATATAGCGAAGGCTTCAGAGAATTATAAGTTGCAAAAATTATTTTTATTTTATATTTTTTTAATTGGAAGCGAGAGTACAGTGACATGCTCAGTGTGTACCACAGCCTTGACCTGTGGGGCTCAGGCAACCCTTCTATCTCAGTCTTCCAAGTAACTGGAACTACAGGCACTCACCACCATGCCCAGCTAATTTTTTGGTTTACTGTAGAGACAGTTCTTACCAAGTTACCCAGACTGGTCTTGAACCCCTGGGCTCAGGCAGTTCTCTTGCCCCTACCTTGTTGGGATTCAGGCATGAGCCACCACGCCCAGCCAATAAGTTGCAAAATTTAGATATAGACTTTATGCAGAACTTAGAGAAGGAAATATTGGCAATCTGAACTGAATTCATATCTTTGACAATAATTTTGTGTTTTTACTATTTTGTTATTCATTTCTCTCACTTGAAATACCATGATGATCATTGTTACTGAACATAATGAAAACTTAAATGTGCATTTGTAATAGGATATTTGATAAACTCATTTTGCTTATAATACCCCCCATCCAACTCGCCAAGAATAATCACTCAGTTTCTAACACCTTAAGTTAATTTTGCCTATTTTTGAACTTTTATAGAATTACAAAGAAGGTACTCTTTCAGGTCTGACTTCTTTTTTTTAACATTATGTTTGCCTGTAGATATAATTAATTTGTTGTCATTACTGAATTGTGTTCCTTTGTATAAATATACTACAGTTTATTTGCCCATTCTACTGTTGATGGACATTTGAGTTATTTCCAGTGTTGAGCTATTATGAACAGTGCTGGCCATAATGTATATGTTTTTTAGTTAACATATGCATGCATTTTCCTTTGATATCTATCAGGAAGTGAAATTTGGGGGTTATAGGAATGTGCATGTTCAGTTTTTGCAGATTCTGCCCAACAGTTTCCCAGAATGATCTACCAACTTACAACAATTGTATTACAAAGTTCTATTTACTTTACAACCTTGCCAATATTTGGATCATCTTTTTTTTATTTTATTTTAGTCACTCTAGTTGTTACACATTGATACACCATTATGGTTTAAATTTGCATTTCCCTGATAGCTAATGAAGTCAAGTACCTTTTTATATTTTTAATGTACCAATTGGTTATCCCCTTTCAAGAAGTATTTTTTTCAAGCCTTTTTTTGGCCTATTTTCTCTTTAGGTGATTGCTTTTTTAAAAATTGATTTGTGGTTGTTATTTATGTATTCTATTCTATTGTCAGATATATGTGTTGCAGATATCTTCTACCACTTGGTGGCTTGCTTTTTTACTCTCTTAATAGTATTTTGTAGCTGGGCTCGGTGGCTCAGCCTGTAATCCCGCGCTTTGGGAGGCTGAGGTGAGTGGATTACCTGAGTCCGGGTTCAAGACCTGCCTGGGCAACTTGGCGAGACCTCATCTCTACAATAAATCAAAAAATTAGCCGGACGTAGTAGTGCGCGCCTGTAGTTACAGCTACTTGGAAGGCTGAGGCAGAAGGATCGCCAGACCCCAGCAGGTCAATGCTGCGGTGGCTGGGAGCGTGCTACTGCACTCCAGTCTGGGTGACAGAGTGAGACTCCAACTCAAAAAAAAAAAAAAGTATTTTATGAGGATCAGAAGGTTTTAATTTTATTGTAATCCAATTTATAATCTTTTCTTTTTATGTCCTACTTAAGATCATCTTGTCTACCCCAAGATCATGACAGTGGTCTTTTTTTCCCCCTAAAAGTGCTATTGTTTCGTTTTTATGTTTAGATCTATAATTCATCTGAAATTAATTTTAGTATGGTGTAAATGAGAGCTCTAGATTCTTTTTTCCATGTGTATCCATTTGAGTCACATTATTAAGAGACCATGCTATTCCCATTGCACTGCAGCATCACCGTTTTCATAAATCAATGAATGTATGTGTTTGGTCTATTTCTGGAGTCAATTCCATTCCCTTTGTCTCTTTGTCTGTCCTTGTGCCCATATTGCATTCTCTCAACTACCATAGCTTCATAATAAGTAAGTATTGATATCTGCTTGTTTTCTTCAAAATTGCCTTGGTTATTTTTTACCAGTTCATTCATTTTAATAGGATGTGCAGATGCAAATAGGTCAGAAGATTTGATTTGGGACATGTGAGATAGTTCTAGTCTAAATTATCCTATTTTCTAAGCAAAATAATAATAGAGATAATTAGCTGAGAATGAAGATCT